GGCGGGGCCGGGGCCGAGCTGCGGCAGCGCCCGGGGTCTAGGGTTGCCAGCAGCAGGGACGCGCGCAGGGCCCGGCGCAGGCGCGCGCACAAGGCCGCGGGGTGGCGGCCGGGGCCCCCGCCAGGCCGGACGCGCGCCTCCAGCAGCAGCCGAAGGCCGGATTTGGGCCGCCCGCCCCGGGCCGCGCCCCGCAGCGCCCCCTGCAGGCGGACGCGGAGGGCGCCGTGTGGCCACGGCACGGATTGCGCTGCCACCACCCTGCCGCGCTTGCGCGTGGGCCCCGGCCGCCCGCGTGGCTCCGGGACCACCGACACCGCCAGCTCCAGCGCCGGGCCCAGCTCGTAGTAGGAGCTGGGCCCCAAGTCCAGCCCCAGCTCGGCCGCGGTGGGGCGCTCCGGGCCCCTGAGGGCAGCGGAGAGGTTGAAGTAGAGCAGCCGCCGCAGGCAAGAGTCGGAGGGAAGGAGCGAGCCTGCGGGGAAAGATATGGCACAGTCACCTCCGCGCCCACGTCCCCTCCGGCCAGGAGGAGCCTGAGTTCCACGGACTTCCGATTGCTGGATGTTGGTTCCTGTGGGCAGACCCTGAACTCACTCTGTAGCCCAGGCTGGCCTCAAGCTCACAGTGACTCTCCTGCCTCAGCCTCCCGAGTGCTGGATTACAGGCGTGCGCCACCACGCCTGGCAGAAGTGAGAATTCTGACACACTCGTGGCGGGGTATATATCTTGGAGGTTATTGGCTAAAAACCAAAAGCTTAAAGGTCAACACTGAGGAGGCTGGTCCAGGAGGATCGAGGGTTCAAGATCAACCTGCGCTACACAGGGAGTTCGAGCGCAGTCTGAACTACGTAGTGAGACCTCGTCTCAACAGTTTAAATGTGTCTGCTCTTTGATCTAACGATCTCCTAAGGATTTACCCTAATAACAGAAAAAGTGCGCACACGCAGGTATTCTAGGACCACATTCACCACGGGGCCTCTTTACACACAGGAGAGCATTGCTGAGCGGTCCTCAGCGGAAGCGCGGAGGCCCTTTCTCCTCTTCCCCCGCGTCAACGCCGAGAAACGCAGACGGAGCCGGAGGAAACCCAGCCCCCTGCTGAGGCCCAAAGACGTCGAGTTACCAGGGACAGACTCCCGGCTCACAGCAGGGCTCCAATAATGCTTCCCGTATTCAAACCTTCCCTCCTTTTGGTGCAAAGCTAACTGCCGGGAGCACGCATAGAAATGCAGATGCCAACCCGCCTAGGCGGAATAAGAATTGGGAGAGAGCGAGGAAGGCGAGGGCTGGAAGATCTTTAAAGATGACCTGGAAGTCAGATGGGTGGTCTCTGACCTGAGAAACCAGTGCACAGCAGGTGTGCAAGGTACGCGGCGACAACGCCACCACCGCTCTGCGTTTCCACAAACCAGGAAGGGGGCGTGGACACACTTCGGAGCAAACCGAGAGGAAAACCTGAAACCTTGTTTAACATTTAAAAAAAGGACTAGGATGTGTATACTGTGGGTTAACAGGGAGAGTGATCCCAGCCCTCTGGGAGGCTGAGACAGGAGGATCGAAAGTTCGAGCCTTGTCTACTATTTAGTGACTTAGCGAGACCCTGTCTCAAAATAAAAAATGAAAGGGCTGGAGACGTAGCTCCGTGCACAGGTCCCAGGTTCCATCCCCAGCCCCGCAAGAAAAAGGTCAGGCACTTTGAATCCTTGGTCGCCACACTGGCAGTCCGACCTTCGCCGGGTCACAGGTTACCTCGGGCCTCAGCCTTCATTTCCCGGTTGTTAAAAGGTGATAAGAATTCCTAACCCGCTTCCTCTCGGCTCTGTGGCTGGGACGGACCAAGATAAAACAAGGAAGGAGATAAAACAGGGAGATAACCGCCCGGGGCCTCCTCCGCCCGCCCGCCGTGCCCACCTTGGTCCGGCAGCGCCCGCAGCGCATCCCCGGGCGCGCCCAGCTCAGGCACGAAGCAGGGACCCCGCGCGAGCCCGGCTGGCCCGGCTGCCGCCTCCCGCTCCCGCGCGATCTTCGCCAGCACGCGGGGCACGAGCTGCAGCCGGTGAGGCCCCGGGTCCGCGCCCAGGAGCCCGAGGAAGTCGCGTTCTCCGAGCTCCAGCGCCTGCGCCATGGACAGGGCCAGCAGGACCCCGAGGGCCTGCGCCGCCCGGGGAGGACGCATGGCCCGAGAAACAGCAGCCCCGGAGCGCACTGAGGGGACCCTGGCCGCAGTGGGCGGGAAAATGGGACGCCCCTCCCCACCGAGCCTGGCCCTCCGCCCGTCTACATTCCGGACGCCTGGCTTTCCTTCTAACTCTGAGACGGGGTCTTAGTATAGTCCCCAGGCTAGACTGCAATTTGCAATCCTCCCCTTCGCCACCCAGACTGCTGGGATTACAGGCGTGGGCCACAATGCCTGCTGTTATCTCTTCTCTTCCTCTACTCTCCCAGGGGGAAAGTTAGCAGTGCTGGAAATAAACTCTACAGCAACCTGAGGATTGTCTGCCTAGGACAGTGTGGAAAAGAAGCCGGGCGTGGTGGTGCACGCCTGTGCTCCCCGCACTCCGTAGGCCGAGGCAGGAGGATCTCCAAGGCCAGTCTGGGCTACATAGAGGGATGTCCAAGACAGTGAAATAAATGCTAGGAAATAAAGTGAATAATTCAGCCTTCAAATTCACAATTAGCAAAATTCATAGGTTATTGGGGGGAATCCTTGGGATCAAACTCAGGGATGGTCATAACTGGGCCACATCTCCAGCCCTTTGTTTTAAATTTTGAGACAGGGTCTCTCCCAGTCACCCAGGCTGGCATCAATTTGAGATCCTCCTGCCTCAGCCTCCTAAGCAACTGGGATTATAGGTATGCACCAGCATGCCCACTTGGCCTTTCTGGGATAAAACTCCCAAGTCAGACTGACCAGGCAATTCTGGTTCCCTTACTTACTAGCTGCGTACTATTGTGCATGTCACTTAACCTCCTAAAGTTCTGTCTTCCCAACTGAAAATGGACTGGCCTCAGGCTAAGCCTGGTGGCACATGTCTCTAACCCCAGCCACTCAGGAGGCTGAGGCAGGAGGACATCAAGTTGGAGCCCAGCCTGGGCAATTTAGACCGTGTCTCAAAATAAATCCGATGACCTTAAATCCTGCCAGCCTTGCTGCAGAATATCGGATTGAGCTTTGAAGGCCTCATCTCTATGAACACTGTGTGTGCTTCAGTGCTGAGTGCTGCGCGCGCGCGCGTGTGTGGGTGTGTGTGTGTGTGTGTGTGCGCGCGCGCGTGCGCATGCCCTGGGAATTGAAGCCAGGGGCTGGCATGTGCTAGGCAAGTTTTTCTACCACCAAGCTACATCCCAATTAATATAACTCTGAGCCCAGCATTATGGTACATGCCTGTAATTCCAGCATTCTGGGAGGCTGACGCAGGAGGATCACAAATTTAAGCCTAGTCTGAGCAATTTAGCAATTTAGCAAGACCCTGTCTCAAAATAAAAAATAAGAGAAAGAGCTGGGATGTAGCTGTATGCAAAAGCCCTGGGTTCCATCCCTAGTATCAAAAAAAAAAAAATTTTGGAGACAGGATTTTGCTATGTAATCCAGGCCAGACTTAAACTTTGTAGATAGCCTGGGACTTGTGATCCTCCTGTCTCAGCCTTGGAATGCTGGGATTACAGCCTTGTGCCACATGCCCATTCTATTTTAAATACCTTGATAAAGGTGTTTTATGGAGCCAAAGGTGTAACGTAGAGGATGTGCTTGGTGCATCAGAGGCCCCCGGGATGGACCCCACCACCAAAAGGAAAGGTTTTTTTTGAAATGTTTAACCTGGCTCCCCACAGCCCCAAGACGGCCCATCCCACAAGAGGCTCTGGGACAGCTGCTCAGGGGAGTCATCATCTCTGACTCCTGCTCTTTTTTCTTTTCCTACTGGCTCTGGAGATTGAACTCTGTCTTCGTTGCTTTCCTCATTGCTGAGACAAAATACCTGGCACCCAAAGTTAAAGGAGGGGAGGTTTATTTGGCTCAGTTTGTAGAGGTTTCAGCCTATAGTGGGCAGGCTCCAAGGCAGGGGCATCGCAGAGGAGAAACAGTCCATGGCAGGCAGAAGCCAGCAAGGCAGCAATGGAAGAAGCGGCAGCCATCTTTCTCCCCATCTCCACCTAGGCAACTGCAGGTAACACTCACACCCAGGTGAGGGCTACTTGATCCCAGCATCTCACATGCTAGATCCCCCACCTCTGCAAAGCCTGCCTGTGACTTCGTGAGGCTTTGGGGACATCTAGACACAGCCATAATGCTCAGAATGGGAGTGTTTCACTCTGCCCTAAGAGACCCCAGCCTCCAATTCCTGCTCACCCCTCCACATCGGGGCTCCTGCTCACCACCAAAGACCTGCACCTTACAGACCCAACCCTAATTCTCATTCTCTCTCCCTCTCTCTCTTTTCAGTACTAAGGATGAACCCAGAGCCTTCACACTGTGCTATATCCCCAGCCCTTTTTTATTTTTATTTTTAGAGTCCTTCAAAATTCCTTAGTTGCCCAGGCTGGGTTTGGATCTGGATCCTCCTGCCTCAGCCTCCCAGAGTGCTAGGATTACAAGCCTGTGCCACTGTGCCACTGCACTTGGCTCCCCTTTTTTTCTTTCCCTTCCTTCCTTCCTTCTTTCTTTC